CAATCTTTAGTCATTATACAGCTGCACTATATTTGACGAAAAACTGGGTGAAACCAGACCCAGCCGCTGTCAATGAGTCCACACAGACCCCAGTGTTCCGGTATCTCTCGCTAGAATTAATTCGTATCGGTTCGCTCTCCGCTGCTTAAACCGTACACCGGCGACACAAAAGCAAACTTTTCGCGGGTACGGCGTCCAAAGAAATGCAAATCCCTGAATCGGATTGCAGATCCCCCATCTTGAATGAACGCCTCCGTACTTCCAGCGAGAACAACGGTCCAGAGATTCGAAATTTGAATATGAATTCGGACGAAGCGGCCGAAATGATGTGTACCCAGCAATCCGGCAGCAAATTCGAGGCTTTACCCGCGCCATCTTGATGCGAGGCGGAAACGATTCATTTCGTTGCGGGTTCATTAAACGCGCGGATTGAAAAGCGGCCGGCTCGTTCGACGAGAAATTTATTAATACGATGACAGCTCTCGTGATTAACGCACTGCGGATCTTTATGCGGAACGCGGTTTCGTTGTAATTTACAGAGACCGCGTGAAACGGGAATTTATTCCCTCTGTCGATGATTCCGACAGCTTATCATTGAGGTGAGAACGATATTAAATTTAATTGCGCTTTGCGATTCATCCCGCATCCGTGCCCGGCGCGGAGAAAATCTCCCGATAATTACCGAGAAAGTTGAGCCGAGTGTAAACCAGATCCATCTTGTACCGGAAGTTCGTCTGGCTGGAAAAGTGTACGTCCAGAGTGATGTCCTGTGATTGATGCATCCTCACAGCAGCCAAATGGGGCGTGTAGATGTAATAATCGCAGCTCGGCGGGCAATTGCAGACCACGGCATCTTTGTCGGTCGCGTCGGTGTCACCAGTGAAGACATTATCTCTGTATAGATCTTGCGCCATATTAAAAGATTAATGAATCTTTTCTTAGATCGGTAACCTTAAACACGATTCATTGAATTTTATAGATCTTACCATTGTGATCGACTAGACAGAGCAAATCTGAAACATTGCATTCACGAGTCGAAGCTGCAAACGAATAATTTTCTATCGTTAGAAATTAGGTAGATATTTGAACATTAATTTCTACCGCTTTGACTGCTGATGCTGTTTCCAATATTTCCAAAGATTCTAAATTAGTTTTCGATCTCGATAGATACATATTCGTGGACCTACTCGTGGGAAACATGAACGAAGGATTGCAGCCGCAATGTTGTATAGTGTGGTTCAGCTTGCAAAACGATATGCAAGTCTCCTGAGTGTACACATTCTCGGGCCTGTGCCTGCAAGGCGCCTTGCTCTCGTCCAAGTCGAGGACTGCCTGAGTAGCGAAGCCAGAGATGCATTCGAACGATATAGTGGTCAGCGACTTCATTGGGATCACTCGGCCATTGTTGGGCCACACTCTCGGATCGTCCAACATGAATAAAATGCCGTCCGTCTCCTCTGCAAAAGTTTCGAAGATATCCGTCGATACTTTGGCAACTAGTATCAATTCGAAACGAGCTAAGATGATCATTTAAAGTCTCCTCAATCTCCGCGATATATTTCGGCATGATACAAGAAAACTTCTCTTTAACCTGACAATACGCAAAAGAAACTCATCATTGAACCAACTATCTCTTCGCTCTCGAGGACTAGTAAAAGTAACTCGCGCGACTACACCGAGCGTATTTCGACTGTAACGAGCTTCTCGGTAGCTGCAGAAAAACCGATTTGCGAATTGGGCCGCAAAGTTATCGAAGCAGCCGAGCGTCGGTGCGGTCGGGAGGGGAAAGAATTCCTCGTAAATTGTAAAATCGATTGGCTAACGGAATCTTGCGCGCTGTAAGCCGGGCGCGGCATTGAAATACGCTCGAAAGAACTCGCGTGTCGTGGACTCTACGACGGGTCGCGACGGGCCGGCAGTTTCGAGGCAGGCCCGAGTCCCGATCACTCGAATTTCCCGGCGACGAGGCAGTTAAATTACTTGGAATTTGCTGCGGCCGGTCACGTGATCCCAGAGTTACCACTTTGATGACTGAATGCCCATTGAGCCGGGCAAGTATGGCCGTCGTTTCCGTCGAACTCCCGTAAAACTTGCTCCGCCGCACGACGATTTCGCGTCCGCCCCGGAGATCGTCGAGTTCTACCGCGGTTCCGCTCCACGCTCGACCCCTTCTAACTTACGATTCCGCCGGCGAGAAACTCGCGTCGACCTTTTTCCCTTTTACACCGCGCGAAAAATCCACGGGGCTGCTTTCGGACTCCGATATCGCGGAAACTCGATTCTACCCGCGATTTTACGATTTGACAGGTCCTCGAAGCTTTTCGGCATTGTTCACCTTTGTCGCCGAGTTTCAACGACTCCGCCGTAGCGAATCTCTATTCGGGATTATACGAGATATCGCGGGGCGAGTGCGCTTTGTGGGACTTTGCGTCGAGTGCGCCGACAAGGGGCTGTTCACTGTTCAATTGCCAGGAGTTTTAACGTGACACGTGTCGGAGATCGGAAGTTATTGGGGTATTCGATACTTTGATCTTGGTAAGATTTTTTCCGCGTCGTTATTCCATCTCCGTCAGCCCAGGAAATTTGTCTGATGTATCGCAAAACTTGCTCGACGTCACATTTAATTAGGACGTTTCCGTCGCGTCACGGATAACGAGACACGTAAAATTATGCGAAAGGCGGAAAGGGCGGAGTGGAGTGGGAGAAAAGTACACGCGGCAGAAGGGCGCGTTATTTACAGCCGGCTAAATCTGCGTGGAACAACGTCGCTACCTCGGAACGCCATTCGTCCGCACAATACGGTTCGTTTATCAACGTAGCTAGTCCCGTGTCGCTGGGAATTTTTCAAGAACCACGGATAACCACCAAGATGCTCGCCGAGAGTCACTTTGCAGGGTTGCGGACATAAAATTAAATGGCGCCGCGGCACCGTGGAGAATATTATGCGCCGAACAGCTCGCCACCGGGTACAGCGGAGTTTCATTCGTCCGGGGAATATGAATTTTGATGAATTTCTTATCAGCGTGTAATTGACACACTTTCGGGCAGCGTTACGATCTCGAGATAGGGGCTGCGCGGACTATTCCGTCGCCAGGAACCAAGTAAAGTACTGGGATAAGTTTTTGCTTTATTGGAATTCTTCGTCGAGTGATGAATTAATTAAATGTTTGAACTTGGTTGATTAGAAATTTACGATTAATGCCGGGAACTTACAAATGGAGATTTCAGCTTCATGCAAAACTTTTCTTCGCTACTCGATGCGAATTCTTTCCCTAATTGCTACTTTCCAATTTCAACTATTTGCCACAAACGATTATATGACAGTATAAAACGATACAGCACTCTCTCTCTCTATCTCTCTCTCTCAGATATAGCAATGAAATATCAGTAAATCTTCCCGGAACTCAAGGAACCAGACCGTACACGGCAATTCATAAACCGCGATCGGTGCAACTGTCGCAAGAACACGGAAACACGTCCGTGGATGAAGTTCCAGATGCAAGGATACTCACGCGAATCCGGAGGCTTGGTCACGTTCCCCATCCGGGCGGTGACCCTGAGGCCGCTCCAGGCGCCGTAGCTGGTCGCCCTGCGGGGACGCTGCTCTCGGTACCCATGGTACTTCCGGCGGTTCACCGTCTCGGTCGATTGCGAGTTGAAGGAGTAACAGAATCCGTACTCGGTCTTCTGCAGCTCGAATATCTCGCAACAGTCCCGTACGGAGTTTCGCCACCAGCACTGGGCAAAAAGCTGCTCGCAGCTCGGCACCACCCGCAACAACGCATCGGTCACGTTTAAACCTGCGATACGAAAAGCAAAGAGACCGAAAAAGCCATCAACTTAGAAAACAAAACTGTCCTTCCGCGGGCTTTCAGTGTAATTAGCCTTTTTTGGTCTTAATTGGCCTACAAGATGAGCGACACTTTCCCACCTGTTCACTTTCGACAGAGCGATTTTCTTTTGTATCTGTTCTCGTCGAAAGCATTGGACTTACTAAACTTCTCAGTTTGTAGCACTGAGAAACATAAAAGCTTGATCAGTCAGTTGAATAGCAGAGAACGATACATCTGGCAAACACCACGAAAGGATGCGCTTGAACCCGGTTATGGAAATGCCACTCCCGCCGCGTATTCCTCGGAGATTTTCATTATTCGACCGGTTCCCGGCTCGGCCGCTGTTCCGTCTAGTTTTTCAATCGCGCTGCATTTCTGCGAACTCGGGCGAAACTAGGAAAGCGACGATCGGGAAATTTTAATTCGACCGTCCCACGGGAAAGCGAGCGCGGTCGACGATATCCTCGCGGCGCTGATGTCGTCGTTGAAAAACGTTTAATAAGGAGGACACCGTCGTAGCCTGGGCTCGGGTTCCATGCAAATGCGCCAGCATAAATAAAACCAATCCTCTAGAAAAGCCACCGCCCACTTTTTTCCCCGACACCGTAACATTTAGCGGGACCCTCTTCATTTCGCTGAATTACGGGGCCGCCGAGGAATCGTTAAGCTCGGAAGTTTCGCGGCGACTGGTCGCTACACGGCCGGACTCGCGTCGCACGCAAGCGTTGGTTCTTTGCGAGGGAATCTACTTCGCGATGAATTGCTCCAGGTAATCTGATAGTCGATCAAAAGTTTCCGATGGCGATGAAACGGAACGACGTTTCTGGCGTGATGCTGGCTCAATCGGTACGCTGTTCTTGGGATTTATTCCGCGTCTGCTTTTCGATTTATTTATTGGATAATCGAATTATAGTGGCTAAAGTTTAGAAACACGAATCGGCGGATGGAAACAGACACCTACCGTTCAGTCCATCCAGTCGACGATACTTGAGAAAGTTGAGCAGATGAAAATCACCGAAACTAAGGACGGACAGTTTAACCATGAGATCCCGGAAGGTCTTCAGCGTCTGCGGCTGCGTGTTGTTCGGAAAAATCTGCTTCTCCAGCTCCAGAAGCTTATCCCAATCGACGCGATCGTTTGGACACAGGGTGACGCTCGGGAACGGGACGTGCGATATCCTGTGATGCATCGATTCGATGCCAATGGACGTTGGCACTTCCTGAAACCGAATCGACGCGCGCGGCGCACCGCACCGCGCCGCGCCACGCGTTAGCCTCGGCCCCGAATAACCGGATTTCGATCCTTGAATATTCAGATTTGCCATTATTCGCCGGACTGAACCGGTCGACCGACAGCTAAATGAATATTCTAAATAAATAATTGGCCGCGCGGGCCCGTAATTGAATAACAAATCGTGTTTGCTGCGTGGAAACGTGTCCGGTACGCGGCACCACTGCCGCGCAAACCGGCTTTTTAAACTTTCACGGAATACCCGACGATACGTCAATTAACGGGACGTCGAGACACTGGATCGCGGCCCGCTAATGAATCACCGCGATTGATCTGTCCGACCGCGTTTGCTTTTTTTGCTATTCACGAACTTTCGTCGCCCGGTCGCGCACACGAATATTTTCGAGCTTGACGATGCGTCTATGCGCGTCACTCTTGTCCAATCGAAAATTAATCATCGAGGCTTTCTAACGTATCGATTTTCTTAGGTTCCTCTGCATTTCATGTAGTAACACAGTTACGTTCTCTAGCAACTAGAAGACTTTAACAACGCTTGGAAGTAATATCAAAAAGCAATATAAAAGCAACTCCATGAAATTTTACCAGCTATTACCCTACAAGTAATATAACCTCCGCAGACAATTGTCAATGAAAGTTCTTCGTACAATTTGAATGTACCAAAGAAAATTACCTGAACTTGGCAAATGAGGTACAAAATAGACCACACCGCGACGACAGCGTGCCCAACGAATATGGCCATCCACAGGAGTCTCTCGATCACGTGCAATTCCGGATCGACGAGGTACCTGAGCCCGTGTAGAGTAGAGTTCGCGCAATAGTGTCGCGCGACGCCTAGCAGGGTCACCAGTCGCTTGATCCTTCGATTCCTCCTGAGATTCGGTTTGATCCAGGCTAGCATCTTTCCACTGGCGCCTTTCAGAGGCATCGCGCCGATCCTTTGCCGAAGACGGCGCGTCCCTGGACCTCTATTTTTCCCTTTGTCATTCAAATTCCCGGGGCCGAGCCCGCTTTGTTAAATTTCACGGATTCCCTTTCGGTCCGGCCCACTCGTCCGATAAGTTCTTTGTTCCCTGTAGTCGACGGGTCGTCTCCCTTTTTCTGCGAATTCGTTGGATAATTATTATCGAACTTCTGTCTTTTGACACGCCCCCCGCCCCCCTCGTCGCCGAGAAACACACCCGTCGCTGAGATATTCCTCGTTCATTCCATTTATCCCGGACTCGGCTGAAACACAGCAAGTATTCGTGACCGGAATCCGGCGTGGGCCACCGATGAGGACAAATATTGGATTCGTGGGAACTTCATAGCAGTTCGAATAAAGTGGCTGGGGCGGATTGCGGGGTGGGACGGGGCTAGGTTCGCTTCGTCACATTCCGTATATTGCGTAGACGTTTCTGAAAACTGAGCACCGTTTGCATCTTTCCGGTTACCCTTCGTTTCGCTCGGTGACCTTCTTTTATTTCTACAATTTCATGGCGCGTTGCACTCGGGAATTCAGCAGGTGCATTAAATTTCGACTATTTCTACTATTTAATTCGCATACTACTCGCGATTAAGGTAATCTTAGATACAACGTCACACGGATTCTTTCTTCTTTTTCTTTCTCTCCATTACTTAGATTTGTTCGTCCTGTTTTCTGTTGCCAAGCAACGAGGCTCGCCATGAAACATACAACCGTAGGAAACGCGACAAAGGACTATGAAATACGCGCAGCGTTTAGCCGTCGAGCCGATGACCGGCATGCGACACCCTTCAAACAGCAATCCGCAGCGAGACCCGCCGGTAAACACGGTGCCCCATCGCGACAACTCAAATCGAATCAGTTTTCAGCCCTGGGCTCGCGTACGACCGTACGTCCAGGGGTTGAAACGTCCCGTCGATGTTTTACGTTTCATCGATCGGTCGAGGGCCTCGAATTACGAAGCGATTACCCCGATTTTATCGGGCACGCTCTCGTCAACCGGCCGACCGATTAATCCTCCGGTCTCGGCACGTTAATTCGTTCGAAACGTTGCGGGGTCGAGGGGAGAATGAAAAAAATCAATGTTCGCCGGACAACGCGGCGAAAAGCCGACGAGTTGTGGAATTAGCGGGTTGTCGTGGCGTAGAGAAGGAAGATGGCTGACACATTGATCCCAACTCGAAAGAACGAGTTAAATTTGCGAGTGCAGGTGTTAAAGCGTTGAGCAGAATTGCGAGGCAATGCAGTTTTTTCTGAATCAGAGGAACCAGGCCTAGCTCGCGCAACGGAACATAGGAAATAGCGAGCCTCGGCCGTGTCGCGGCTGTGTCGCCGCGGTTACGGGTATTAGTATGCAGACGCGGGCTGGCTCACTTGCCTCGGGCTTGTTATTGATGATGAACGTGCCGCCCGTTAACACTCCAGCCGACGGAAACGGAGACGGGTGCAAGGATGCGTTTATTCCGCGCCGTGAACCCGTCTTCAACGTACGACCCGCGCGCTCCGTCCCCTAATAGCCGCCCCTTCTTTGTAAACGCAGCATCCACACGCCTTCCGGGGATTTTTGAAACGTAATTCAATCCCGCGCGACGCCGTGCGCGCGGGAACCGATTCTGACGAGCGACTCGCATTCGGGAATTCCGCTATTAAATAGGAAACAATGCGTAGAGATAATCTCTACGAATACTTTGATCATAGAACGTTTGCATCGCGCTTTCAAACGATTCGCCTGATTAATACATTTAATATCAGAGGCTATTATAAACGTTGTTCGGCTAAAGTGCTTCAAGGAAAATAAAAGATGAAAAACGCAGCTGCATTATTTCCATTTTAATGACGCATCGATTGAAGTTTCATAAATGGTACAACGGTTTTTCTCTGAACGAGTACACGCGTGGACAACAGTCCAATTGTATTAATAACAACAACAATAGCGATAATGGCAGTATCATGATAACAGTTTGTGTTTACTGCGCCGGCGGCCATTAACACAATCGCTTTCACGATTCATTTTGGTATTAATCTTCGTACTGGCAACATTTCATTGAATGCAACGTGTACTATTTGCGAAGCATTAAACGAATCTAACGAAGAACAATTGGTAATATTCTGGATATCGCCATGTTCGGTGTGACAGTAGGAGCCTCGTTCGAATAATCATTCTATCCCCGATAATGCCATCGCAGCTACGACCCCTCTGTTTTTCAGTTAATTATTAACCACGCGCCCAGTCGTCTCGCAAAAATTGATTCTACCGCCGAAGCATCGCGTTTTCTATGGATTCGCGACGATTTTCGCGTTGCCGAGCATATCCGACCGGTTTCCTGTTCGTCACGGCGGTATATGTCGGTCACCGACACGCCACGGCAAATAATCCGCCGTCGAAGAAGCTAGTGTTCCACCGGTCGCGGGCTCTATTTGCGTGGCTGATTAATTAATATTGTTTATTCCGGGGAAAGTAAATTCAATCGTTTTCCCCGATGTTTGACGAAATTGTATTAATAATGTATAAGCGCCGTTCATCCGTTATTATGACGATGATACTACTCGCGCGCTGTTTATTCGCGATAATGTCGGCTGGCGTGTAATTAGCGACCGACGTACAAAGTAGCTTCGCGCGTCCAATTCCGAGCCGATTAATGACGTCCGCTCGAAAAAATAACTTGGAATAAGCGCAATTTACGATGCCATCAGTTTTTAGCTGGCGAAAGAGTTGACGGGTTACGAAATGAACATCGACAGCATACTGATTGTTACAAGAGTTCGGAGAGATTAGCGAAACATTACTTAGTTTTCGTAACAAAGACAAATGGGATTCTATATCGATTCCGTAACTAAATTACAGTTATCGTATGCACTGAAAGAATAACGGAGAATAAACAGCAACGAGATAAACGCGTGGTTACGTGATCAGATGAAATTATCTTTCGATTCCTGGAGCGATTCTGCCGAGCGATAATGCGGCGGACAATTAATGGCGGGGCCAGGCAGAGATTCACGATTCCGCGAAAGAAACGCGAAATAACGATCGTAAAATGAAATCGTTGAGCGGGACCGTCCCGTAAAAATGATTTATTTACACTAACGCGGGGCCAGGAAGTATTCTCGCCGGTGCGCAGGATATCGAATATCGGCCGGCCGACATTGTTCACCGGTCCGTGCGCCTCCCGTAACCTCGAAACGAATTGAATTTTCTCCTATTATCGGAGACAGTATCGCGCGTTATCGATTACACGCTGGCCGACGCGTTATTATCATAAGTTAGTCCACGGTATTTATTAATGGCAACGAGTAACGCGCGCGATGAAACCGGTGATCGATTATCGCGGCGTGTCCCGCGTTCCGGATTGTAGCTGAAATTTCGAGCGAAAGGGTCGCGCGCCGCGGCGAAATCCACGGATCCGGCCGGGTTTAAGTGAAACTCGCCGCCGGAAGAGGGTGTAAATCTGTGCCGCGCGAACGGGGAAACTGCCTCGACGCGGGTTAGAATTCGATATCGGGCACCGTGGAACGAATAAGATCGGGGACACGATGGGACCGGGTAGAATTGCCCATAACCGGAACGTTCCCCCGTCCGTTTTTCCGTCCTCTTACGCTAACTTTTACGTGTCCCGCGGAACGTTCCCGAGTCGATCCGAACTGTATTCCGACCGCGTACTTACGAGTTCCATCGGTCCCAATTGGATTGGACAACGGTACGTAAACGGAAGAACAGTCGTTTCTCCGCGGAACAGGTTACAGCTAGTTGTCATGGGAAGTAACTGGAAAATCAGTCGAAAAGGTGTGAAACAACGCGATTCAGGAATTTTTGGTAACCCGCGGTATTCACAGTTTGAGCGAGTGTCTAGGAAAACCTTACACTACGATGTTCTTCGATAAATAATAAAATGATGTACCATCGAGTTTTTGGGATAATTAAGGCTCTCAGCGGTTCAATGCCCCGGCACTGGCATGGCGAGATTCACTTATCGACAGGTATGATTACACGGATAAATGATTCACGTCCGTCAAATGTCGCACACACTCCATTGGATTACAGCTTTTAATTATTCCTCCTCTGCAAGAAATTATTTCCGCAAATGTCGGGATTATACGATCGGAAACCAGAAACAAACAAATATAAAATAAAATTATGAAGAACAAAATGAATATATCTCAGCAACAGAGGCGATCTGCTTCGGCTCGTAACTTTCCGCTGAAACAATATAAATTTCGATTTCACCGATCGCAACGGACTCTGTGGCCGAGCATACTTAGCGAATGAAGGGGGGAATAATTCACGAGGAGTCTCGATTCGCCTGATCCGATAAGAGGATAACCAAGGATAGAGGCTGCGGTTGGTAATTAGGCGGAAAGTACAGCTCGCCGTCACGATTACATGGAATCAGAACAATTGACCGTTACACTACTATTTTGCACCGTCAACGATTAAACCCGTTACTATCATCCTACAAAGGATCATTACTATTAATCTATAATGCCACAAAGGAAATTAATTCGGCCAATTGATCCCCTATTATTCGGCAGTAGCGTAGCCAGTGCTCCACGTTCCAGCGACGGCGATTCCACCCGTGATCCGATCGATCGCGTATCGATTCGATCGGTTCATTCCACGGCAACGATTCGACGACGGAACGATTGCGCGAGGCTCACTCGATTCTGCTCGTCGGGTTTAGGCTGTACGCACACGAGCCACGCGATCGTATCGCTGCATTCAAACGAAAGAAATCAGAACGACATAACGACATTCGCACATACTATAATCTTAACGTTATAGAGTTTAGCAAGTAATAGTTTCCTTGGTCATAAGTGAGTTACGTACGATTTCTCGTCAAGTTAGCTACAAAAAGTGTCGGCCGGATCTCATTAGGAAACGGATTAAAAGGATC